TGGCTCGAACTCAAGTGAACTGCAGGGGACTACTTGAACTCGAATGAGTAGAACAGTGGACTTAATTGAACTCAAATGAGCTTGGTGCAAAGAACTTGAACCAAACAAGACTACATATGACTTTTGACATTGAACTTAAACATGTTTTTGGACTTGAATAAGTGAACTTTAAGCAAATCATGTCATTAAATATTAAACAAAAATGAGCTCAAGTTTGAATCAAATGATGAAGACTTATAAGTTTGGACATGCTTAGAATCAAGCATAGTGGATAAGAATAGAACTTGAATTAATCTTGCAAGTATTTGAGACTTGAACTTGCAAGTGGCACATCATAACTACAAAGACTTGAACGCCTATTGAACTTGAATTCAAATTTAGATTTGAATTACAACAAACGTAAACTCAATTTGAATTTGAGTATAATCAAGGTGAACAAGTTATAAGAAATTTGAATTCAAGATGAGCTTAATTTGAGGAGCAAACTCATCATACAAGATGTGGGTCATCCTTTTGTGATGATAAAAGACTTACAATGAGGAGTTGATGTATTTTTTTTCCCTTTCAAGTAGGTCTTCATAAATTAAGACAACTTTAGATAGTTCTTCCCATTTAGGCGGTAGGAATGTTGCATGTTTTGTAGATCACCTCATCCTTGATGCACCATAGAATCCTCAATTTGATCAAAGCTCTGGGATGAATTTCCTTCAGACATCATGGTGTCACAAAAATAGATAGTAATAAAGGCTATCTCTAATTATATATGGCAATGAAGTTCTATACTTATTTGAGTAAATAGGAATTCAATGGATCCTATTTGAATTGGTCAACCGTGCTCCGGGTAGCAAGCCCAACTCCTAGGTCTTGTTTATAGAAGCATGGATAGGAAGGGGCCCTTAGAGGATTGCTTGGACTCTTCTTCCGGATGCACGAACGAGTCAGTTTGCAAGTAGGAGGCTTGTTCGGCTCAGTCCCGCACGCAGGAGGCTCGCTCGGCTCCATCCTGCACGTAGCAGGGTCGCTCGGCTCTTGTTCTTCCCGCACGCAGGAGACTTGCTCAGCTCCATCCTTCTCGGCCGCAGGTAGGAAGATCACGTTTGGTCTTGTTAACCTCCATACATTATCCAAAAGAAAAAAAAATTTCATTTACCTGTTATACAATGCCAGCTATACGCTCCACAAATCCCGTAAAATCCTGTAGCTCGGTGCCATTTGAGTCGCATCCCGCGATTCCTGCTCCAATCCCGGCCTCGATCGCTGCTCTTCGACGTCTTCAAAAGCCAACCGAATGAAGCCATTTCTTCCCCGTTCGCTACCTTCTCCACTGTCGAAGCTCTATCCATGTGAAATCCCTCAGCCGTCCCGACCACCCGATCTCTCTCAACTCCAGGCCGAATCACACAGACCCGACCCAGGCGACTTCAACCGAGGCTTTCACAACCGAAACCCCATCTTCTCTGTCGTTGCCTTGCCCAATCCGTTCGACCCGTAGATAGAGAGAGAGAGGAGAGAGAGAGAGAGAGAGAGAGAGAGAGAGAGAGAGAGAGAGAGAGATAGAGAGAGCCCTACCTCACTAGCAAGCCGCCGCCCTTCCTTCTCTGAGACCGAACCCATCCCGACGTCTCTACCTCCCTTGGCGACATTCCGATCCTGTTGTTTCGGAAGTTACAACATTTTAATTGGAAGCAACAACAGGAGCTCGCATGTAGTGAAGGTAATTCCCCCCTTCGTGCGCTTCTTCGGCCAAATCCTATAAACTGACCTAATCAAGAGGGAGAGGGAGAGAGATTAAGTTATAATTATAATTTTTTAATTAATTATTATTATTATGATTAAATAATTTTAATTAATTTGATTAATTATAATTAGTTTTAATTAGAATAAATTCTAATTAAACATAATTTAATTATTATTTATTAATTATAATTTACC